CGATTCCTGCTCGATGTTCCCTTCCCACCCTCCCTCGAGCTGGTCTCCCCTCTTAGTGTTGGCGATGTCTCGCCTTCTCGAGATCGATGTTTCCCACCTGAGCTCGTCCCCTCCGAACGTGACCCTCACCGCCTGATGGAAGCAGCGCTGATCCAACCACTCGGTAATGAAGGGACGATCGAACATCAGTGTCCATGTCTATGCAATTGTTTTCCCATTCGGCACGGCTGGGGTGTATGTGTTTGGGCGCCGTCTGCTGCTAGCGACTCCGGGCAATGCATCCGCAGTGGGCTGCGGCCACCTGGCGAACAGCGACAGGAGCTGTCCACCTGGCAGACGGAGAGCGTGCGGGAGCGGTTCGCCGCCGAGGGCTGGATCCCCCGCGAGGCCTGCCCTTGTCTATCCTGGGGTGGCTGGCAGGAGGGTAGGGAGGAGAGAAGGGGTAGGAGGAGGAGGAGGAGGAGGAGGAGGAGGAGGAGGAGGAGGAGGAGGAGGAGGAGGAGGAGGATCGAGGAGTATCAAGGAGGATGAGGAGGAGGAGGAGGAGGAGGAAGAGGGGGAGGAGGAGAGGTTCGAGAAGGATCGAGGAGTTGGAGGGGAGGAGAAGGAGGATGAGGATCGAGGAGGGGATCGAGGCTGATGATGCTGATGCTGATGCTGCGGATGATGAGGATTATTGATGATGCTGATGCTGGTGATGATGATGCTGATCATGATCATGATGATGATGATGATGATGATGATGATGATGATGATGACGATGACGTTGATGATGATGATGACAATGATGATGATGATGCTGCTGATGATGATGATGCTGACGATGACGGACGATGACGACGATGATTCTGATGATTTTGATGATGATGACAATGATGATGCTACTGATGATGCTGATGATGATTATGCTGCTGATAATGGTGATGCTCATGATGCTGCTGATGCTGATTCTGATGATGATGAGGAGGAGGAGGAGTATGCTGATGCTGATGATCATGATGATGCTGCTGCTGATGATGATGATGCTGATGGTGACGATGATGCTGCTGCCGATGATGATCATACTGATGCTGATGATGTTGATGCTGATGCTGATGCTGTTGATGCTGATGCTGATGCTGATGCTGGTGATGATGATGACGATGATGCTGCTGCTCATGATGTTGTTGATGATGATAAGGGTAATGATGCTGATTCTGATGATGATGCTGATGATGATGATGATGATGCTGATGCTGATGCTGATTGTGATGATTATGATGATGATGATGATGGTGATGATGACGATGACGATGACGATGACGACGACGATGATGATGATGATGATGATGATGATGATGATGCTGATGCTGATGCTGATGCTGATGATGTTGATGATGATGCTGATGCTGATGCTGCTGCCGATGATGTTGATGACGATGATGATAATGATGGTGATGGTGATGGTGATGGTGATGATGATGATGATGATGATGATGATGATGATGATGACTCTGATTATGATGATGATGATGATGATGATGATGATGATGATGATGATGATGATGATGATGAGCATGATGATGATGATGATGATGATGATGATGATGATGATGACGATGATGTGGATGCTGCTGCTGCTGCTGCTGATGATGATGATGATGATGATGATGGTGGTGATGATGATGATGATGATGAGGATGATGAGGATGATGATGGTGATGATGATGATGATGCTGATGATGATGATGATGCTGATGATGATGATGATGCTGATGATGATGATGATGATGATGATGATGATGATGATGATGATGATCATGATGATGATGATGATGATGATGATGATGATGATGATGATGATGATGATGATGATGATGATGATGATGATGATGATGATGATGATGATGATGATGATGATGATGATGATGATGATGATGATTCCTCTCGCTTCGCGGGGTGCACGTTCGGAGCACGTGCAGTCCAGACGTTGTGGGGCCTGGTGAAAGCCTCTTTGTGGCCTCTTGGGGGCCTCCTGTGGGCTTCTTGGGGTCTCTCGGGGGCTTTTTTGGGGCCTCTTGAGGCCTCTTGGGGCCTCTTGTGGGCGTCTTGGGCGCTCTTGCGCAGTTTTGCTCCTCTTGCGGGCCTCTCGCGGCCACCTCCGGGCTCTCTTGTCGTCCTCTTGGGCCGTTTTGGATGCCTCTTGGACCGTCGTGGGGGCCTCTTTGGGCTGTCTTGGGGCCCTCTTGGGCCGTCTTTGGGTCCTCTTGGGGTCCTCTTGAGGGCCTCTGGGGCCGTCTTGGGACCATTTTGGAAGCTGCTTGGGCCGTCATGGACCTCTAAGGATAGAAGAAGACGAGAACGCTAAACTCCTTCAACCTTTGGAGGACAAGCCATGATTTTGGCCTGTGGAGTCGCTCGCGGGGGTCCTCTTCGGGCCCTCTGGCGCCTTCTTGGGAACTTGTTGGGCCCTCTTGGGGCCATCTTGGACCACCTGGGGGTCGTCTTGGCCCGTCTGGAGGCCATCTTGAGCCGTCTTGACGCACTCATGGACCCCCAAGACCCCCAAGGGGCTCAAATCGTTGATTTCCCATCGTTTTTCGTACGTTTTGGGGCTCCAGAAGTGGGGGTCCATCCTGGTCGGCGGATGTGGCGTTGCCCGTGTTGGGGGGGGTTAGGGCGGGCGACATTATAATGGCACATACTACAACATGTACACATTATAGACGTTTTGTTACCTAACATCGAAGACTGATAGGTTTCTAATGGTGTAAAAAGAGAGCAGCACATTACTCCACAGGGGGGTCTGGGCAGCCGTTGGGGAGCCGTTGGGGGGCCGTTGGGGGGGCCGTTGGGGATTTCCGGGGGGGATCCGCGGAACTTCGTTTTTCGCATACAGTCACACACTTCGTGCTCTTCGACCTCCCAGAACTCCATTCCCGGGCCACATTCTGAATGCCCGGAGCCAACTGTAGGCCACTTCGTGCTCTTCGACTTCCCAGAACTCCATTCCCGGGCCACATTTTGGATGCCCGGAGCCAACTGTAGGCCACTTCGTGCTCTTCGACTTCCCAGAACTCCATTCCCGGGCCACATTTTGGATGCCCGGAGCCAACTGTAGGCCACTTCGTGCTCTTCGAGTTCCCAGAACTCCATTCCCGGGCCACATTTTGTATGCCCGAGCCAACTGTAGGCCACTTCGTGATCTTCGAGTTCCCAGAATTCCATTCCTGTGCATGATTTTGAATGCCCGGAGCCAACTGTAGGCCACTTCGTGTTCTTCGAGTTCCCAGAATTCCATTCCCGGGCCACATTTTGAATGCTGAGGCAGGCTGAGGCTGAGGCTGAGGCAGGCTGAGGCTGAGGCAGGCTGAGGCTGAGGAGGCTGAGGCGAGGCTGAAGGCTGAGGCTGAGGCTGAGGAGGCAGGCTGAGGCTGAGGCTGAGGCTGATGAGGCTGAGGCTGAGGCAGGCTGAGGCTGAGGCTGAGGCTGAGGCTGAGGCTGAGGCTGAGGCTGAGGCTGAGGCTGAGGCTGAGGCAGGCTGAGGCTGAGGCTGAGGCTGCAGGCTGAGGCTGAGGCAGGCTGAGGCTGAGGCCAAGGCTGAAGGCAGACTGAGGCTGAGGCTGAAGCAGGCTGAGGCTGAGGCTGAGGCAGGCTGAGGCTGAGGCTGAGGCAGGCTGATGCTGAGGCAGGCTGAGGCTGAGGCTGAGGCTGATGCAGGCTGAGGCTGAGGCAGGCTGAGGCTGAGGCCGAGGCTGAAGGCAGACTGAGGCTGAGGCTGAAGCAGGCTGAGGCTGAGGCTGAGGCAGGCTGAGGCTGAGGCTGAGGCAGGCTGATGCTGAGGCAGGCTGAGGCTGAGGCTGAGGCTGATGCAGGCTGAGGCTGAGGCTGAGGCAGGCTGAGGCTGAGGCCGAGGCTGAAGGCAGACTGAGGCTGAGGCTGAAGCAGGCTGAGGCTGAGGCTGAGGCAGGCTGAGGCTGAGGCTGAGGCAGGCTGATGCTGAGGCAGGCTGAGGCTGAGGCTGAGGCTGATGCAGGCTGAGGCTGAGGCAGGCTGAGGCTGAGGCCGAGGCTGAAGGCAGACTGAGGCTGAGGCTGAAGCAGGCTGAGGCTGAGGCTGAGGCAGGCTGAGGCTGAGGCTGAGGCTGAGGCTGAGCTGAGGCAGGCTGAGGCTGAGGCTGAGGCTGATGCAGGCTGAGGCTGAGGCAGGCTGAGGCTGAGGCCGAGGCTGAAGGCAGACTGAGGCTGAGGCTGAAGCAGGCTGAGGCTGAGGCTGAGGCAGGCTGAGGCTGAGGCTGAGGCAGGCTGAGGCTGAGGCTGAGGCAGGCTGAGGCTGAGGCTGAGGCAGGCTGAGGCTGAGGCTGAGGCTGAGGCTGAGGCTGAGGCTGAGGCTGAGGCAGGCTGAGGCTGAGGCTGAGGCAGGCTGAGGCTGATGAGGCTGAGGCAGGCAGGCTGAGGCTGAGGCTGAAGCAGGCTGAGGCTGCTGAGGCTGAGGCAGGCTGAGGCTGAGGCTGAGGCTGAAGCTGAGGCTGAGGCAGGCTGAGGCTGAGGCCGAGGCTGCAGACTGAGGCTGAGGCTGAAGCAGGCTGAGGCTGAGGCTGAGGCAGGCTGAGGCTGAGGCAGGCTGAGGCTGAGGCTGAGGCAGGCTGAGGCTGAGGCTGTGACTGCGACTGCCGTTGCCACTGCGACTGTCATCGCGAATGCGACTACGACCGCGAGAACAGCAGAATTCTACAACTGGATTCTCATCCGAATCTTAAGGGGAATGCTTCCAGATATGCTCCTACACATCGATGTTAGGTTGCTTTGCCGGGATAATGTATCCCACCAGCCGATCCAGAAACGATGCCCAGGCGAGTTGAGGTGATGAGGGAAGTGCGGGAGCAAAGAGGGGGACGGCCGAACCGTGCGAAGGAGGGAGGATGAGAAGGAGGAGGCTGGATGGATGGATGAGGGACTGGGGAGAAGGAGGGTGAATAGGATGAGGAGGAGGAGGAGAGGAGGAGAGGAGGAGGAGGAGGAGGGGAGGAGGAGGAGGAGGAGGAGGAGGAGGAGGGAGGAGGAGGAGGAGGAGGAGGAGAGGAGGAGGAGGAGGAGGAGGAGGGAGGAGGAGGGAGGAGGAGGAGGAGGAGGAGGAGGAGGAGGAGGAGGAGGAGGAGGAGGAGGAGGAGGAGGAGGAGGAGGAGGAGGAGGAGGAGGAGGATAAGGAGTCAGAGGAGGGAGGAGGAGCAGGAGGAGGAGGAGCGCAAGCAAAAGGGCCAGGCGTCTCTTGGATGCCTTTCAGAGCCTCTTGGGATACCTCTTGGGCGCTTCTTGGTGGCCTCTTGGGACGTCTTGGGGGTCTGTTGGCGGTCCTGGGGGGCTCTTGGGCGTCCTCGGTTCCTCCTGGGGGCCTCCTGGGGGCCTCTT